GTTCTTAAAGACTAAAATTGATTATTATTAAGAATAATATATTTTTGTAGAATGCTTTCAATTATTTCATTCAATCGATCTGTTTCATATCATAAAGTATTTACTTTCTTGACATCCACCATTCGTCAATCGACATCAACTTCATCGGATATAATATCGAACAAAGATTTAGAACATCGTGATCGTTTAAATATAACAAGAAAAATGCGTCTATTAGGTTTACAGAGTAATCAAGCTCGTCAAGCACTTTCAATCTATGATGATTATGTATATCGACAAAAAAAATTACCTGATTTACGAATGTTTGCAGTTGCTATCAATTGTGCTATGATTGCTGAAGATTTAGCTAAAGGCCGTGAAATTCATCAATTTATTGAATGTAATTTTCCACATTTTAAGGATAATCTTATGTTGAAACAACAACTTCGTTATTTTTATATTAAATGTAACGATAAACTATCAGCTGATAAACTTTTTCAACAATCATCAACAATAAAACATACACAAACAAAAACACAACAAAAAACAAAAATCAACAAATCTTGATTATAATCAGATAGATAATATTTAACATAACATAGAATATATTCATAATTTTTGTTACAAAAAAAAAAAGCCAAGAATTGATCTTTGTTGAATCTTATGAAAATATATTAATAGATTGAAATATTTGTTTAACTTTCGTCTTTTTATTCTGTTAGAGAAGAAACGTGATTATGATTCTATCTGTATTTTTAGTGACTTTAATATTTATTCAGTACATTTTGTTCGAAGATCTTTAATGAAAATACGAATTATACTATTGTATTTAATAGATATTATTAAATATATTTATTTTTTGTTCTTTCAACGGTTCTGAATACAAAAAAAATATATATATTGATATTCTTTTTGTTTTAAATTCATAACCAAGAAAGTTCAATCTTTATCTCATGATTTGATTAGAATATTATTTTCATGTTATGAAGAAAGATTACAGATTGAGCAGTTTAGACGTGATCTACATGATCAGTTACTCATAGTGAGCTACTTATTCATCTTGTAACTTATGCTGGTTTATTATATTCAGTTCGACTAGAGAAAACTTTTAGTTCTACGACATCAATCTTTTTTCTATGTTTTGCAGTGTTTTACTGTTGTTTTGATATATTTTTAAACTCGAATGTAAAACCAAAAGCAAAAGAGATCAGTAGTTTAATAATAATGATTCTACTATTATCATATTATTTCATATGACTAAATATGTTTCTCTTTTGTGTTTTGGTCATTGTTATCTTATATATGATTGCAATTAGATGATAAAAGAAATGTTTAAAAATGCAGATATTTTTGAGTGATTCAGTTTGTATGAAGGAAAAAAAAAGAACTCCTGAGTGCATATATGAATGAAGGAATTGGTTTTGAATTTTTAAGTCAACTTCGGCGTATAAATATAATACACTTCATATGAAGAAATTGGCAACATCGTTCAAAGATCATCTAACTAAAAACAATTCTTTTGCAGGATAAGTTGAAGTAAGAAAGCTGAATATCAAATTAAAAAAAAAAGGAAAAAAACTTGATGAAGTAAATTTTCGTTTTTCAGAAATAGAATTAGACGACTATATGCCAACTTTATTTTCAATGATATTAAATCAAACAATGGTAAACATATGCTGAAGATCATATCGATGTAAACAGTGATTTTTCTATACAAATCTCGAAAGAAACAGACGATGTTATACATTATAATATACAGAGCTAGCACAATAACTTTTCAAGATATTATATTTATATTCAGTTTTCGCTTAAACGAGATCCTTTTACATTCTCTTCTTGTTAATGTAAATCAGATATTAGACCTGTTGGTGCCTACACACATGAAGCAACCATTATTTGGTATCTTTCTTATGTACAATATCATAATTTTTAAGATTCAAGAGGTCGAACAAAAATACAGCACACAATTGATGTTATGCAATCACATACAGAAGAAGAAAAAGACGATAGTTACGTATATTGAACAATGAAAAGTCTATTTATAAGAAAGGATCTCTGTACCATAATAAAGATACGAAAATACAGAATTTTACCAATATGAGCCATGAAATCCAACAATTCTTTTAAGGATCAAACGGCGAAAGTCGAATCGTTCGAAGTCGTACATGTGACAATTTAACAGTTGGTTATTTCTTTTCAGATTCATTCGAAATATGATTGAGGAACGTTTCGATTGTAGATATTTACAGAAATAAAAATTGAATAGAACCAGTTCATTATGATAACAGTATTTATCGAAATAAGATCATTCTATTAATTTTCGACTTACTAGTTTTTTACAAAATAAATACTGCTTGTCTTAAATAATAGATAATTTCGTATTAGTTTCGTCGAAAGATAATTTCAAATAATTATTTTATCACAAAAACACGAGCATTCACACGATTTCAAACTTTTAAATGAATTTGATTTCAGAGAGACTGTTTTTGTGAGAAATCATTTTTTATGAAGTTTAAAAGTCGATTTCAAATGATTTTAAAAGAGTTGAGTAAAATCTTAAGTTAGAAGTGCTAAGGATATTTTTTAAAAATTATAAAATAATATAATCATCAGATATTTCATAAGTATAAAAAAATATCACATTATTTTCATTCCATGATTTAGATCGTTTTTCGAAATTTCATATTGTGCTTCAATAATTTAATTTAATCTACACTTATATTATCAAGTATACTGTTTTAGGAGAAAAAATGGTATGCGTAGGAGCAGACAGTATTTCGTGCCCTATTTTGTCTATTCTAAGTAGTTAAAAATAGTGTTTTATCTATTTGCTACTTAAAATGAATTTAAGATAAATTGAATTTTTGTAGTTCATCGCTTGAGTCTTCGAAGAACAATCGACTTGGACTTTGGAGAAAGTCTAGGATAAATAATTCTGCCTGAGTTTGTGAATGACTCAGATGGTAGAAAACATAAACATTCTTTTTGTCATGTTTCCATGTTTTTCAATGTATGACTCTTGAATAAATTTATGCAATTTCATGACATCACTATCATGTATTTCTAATTAATTTCACGAAATGAGAAGTTCGTCATCAGTTTTCTACAGAAAAAAGTTCCATTAAAATTATGTAAATTAATTAATCTTTCTATTTCATGAAATCGCCGCTAAAAGAAAAATAATTTTAGAAAGCTTGTTTTTCTTCGTAATCTAATGAATAAGTATTGTTTCACTACACTAGATGAATTTACTTTTTGACAGAAACGATATAGTTAGTATCTCAATAATTTTATTTATTTCTTGAAAGACGATTGTTTGTTTTTCTTTTTCTTTGTTAAATTTCTCATCAAAGTTTTTCTTTAAATATGAATAATTTATTCTCAAATAAATTTAATTATCATCCTATGTTAGAATGAAGAATTACATAACGATTGAAAAGAAAAACAGATTTATTTGCTTTTAATGAATAATTATCATAAACATGACAATATATCGTATTTTATAAATGTTTAAGAGGAGATATTATTTGAGCACAAATCAGAGCAAGGCTATTACTATCCATGTTCAATAATTCTAGTTTCAATAATCTTTTTTTGTTCTCGAAAATTATTTCATATTAAATGGAAAGTGTCAGAAAACAAAATCTTATAACTACAAAATCATCTATGATAGAGTTTCATTTCAGCTAAACCGTTTGATATTTATTTATGCATAAGAAAAGATTAAAAAACGACATTGTTCATTTGAGATACAATATACTGGTAATTAATGTATCAGACATGTATGACTACGAAGGTTTTTCTTCTCTAAATTCCCTATTTAAATATCTTTTCAAATAATATCTCATTAAGATATATATGTCGTATCGAAGTTAGCATGTTTATCGAAGTTATAACTTCGATAAAATTTTTATCGAAATTACAACTTACACGC